CCCGCACTCGCCGGAGCGCACCTGGACGGACGCAGGTAGAGCCGCCGCTGGGCTTCCCGCCTTGGGATTGGTCCAGCGCTCGGTCTCGCAACGGCGATTGGTCCAGTCGGGCCGCTTTCAAGTTTCCCAAGCCACGCCCCCCCCGAGCGTCCCGCCACGGGATTGGCTGTGGCCCAGGTTCTCGGCTCCCCCGTTGGCCACGCCCGCAGCCCTCCCTCCCCGCTTTCTCTATAGCCTTTGGGAAGCGAAAGGGGGTCCCGGCGAGAACGCTCCGGACCGCTGCAATCCTCAGGGCTGCAGGTGGGAACGTCTCGGAGAGCCCAGAGCCCGGCCGGACGCTTCCCGGTCCCTGGGTCTGGCTCCAGGCATTTCCCCTTCCGGCGCTCTGCCGCGGCGCCGCCCTGCAGAAAAAAGTTTGTTCAGACCTCCGGAGATTCTGAGAATTCAAAAAGTTCAACCAGTCAGAGAGCGACTGGCAAAGTAGCCGGGAGAAGGAAGCCAAGCCCGAAGAGGGTCCCCCTCACCCCGTGACAAGTGCCCGGAGTGTCTGCGGACGTGGGTTCAATTCCCAGCACCCCATACAGTCCCCCTAGATTGCCCGGAGTGATCCCTGAGCACCGCAGAGTATGTCCCCTCCCTATCCCTAAAACGAAGGGAATAGCGGGGGAGGGGGGCGAGGAATCCTTTCTCTTCTGTGCTGGTTTCCAGTCCTTACCAGTGATCTAAGTACTAGATTATTTTAATTTTTTTGGAGTGGAGTCCCACTGGGTTGTGCTCAGGGCTTACTCCTGGCTCTGTGCTCAGGAATCACTCCTGCCGGACCTCAGGGGACCTTTGTGATGAGGAGATCCAACTCTGGTCTTTTGTTTGTTTGTTTACTTTTTGGGTCACACCCAGAGATGCAGAAGGGTTACTCCTGGCTCTGCACTCAGGAATTACTCCTGGCGGTGCTTGGGGAACCATATGGGATGCTGGGAATCGAACCCAGGTAGACCACCATTTGGGATGCTGGGAATTGAACCCGGGTCAGCCCCGTGCAAGGCAAGCACCCTACCCGCTGTGCTATTGCCCCATCCCGGCTCCCTGCACTCTTCCTCCAGCCCCCTTCTCTATTTTTTTTATTTACCAAATTTGAGCACTCTACCCTGGGTGCTTCTGTTGGAGCGGTTTTAGCAGCAGCATTTGAGAAAGACCAGGAGCTTGAACTTCAAGGGAAGAGGAAAGGGAGTAGGACAAAGGGGAAGATCTGGGAAGGCGGGGGGAGGAGGGTGCGTGAAACTATTCCAGGCCAGAGTGGGGTTGCAGGTGGCCCCCTGAAGACAAGTAACAAAAAGTCCAGCAGAAAGGAGGTGTATGTGAAAGCATTTTGTTTAATGCGAAAGCAGACTGTTTAATATGGATCTATCTTTGTTCACGGAAAGGCATAGGGGTTGGGGCGTACCTTTCTGAGACCTCAGGGATCACTCCTGGCTCAGTGCTCAGGGGACCATGTGGTTGTAAGGATAGAGCCTGGGTCTCTCACACGTGCTCAATCTATTGAGCTGTGTTTTTAGCCTAATTTCACCTGTTTTGGAATATTAGTGATTCCCTTGGACCCGGACTGTAGAAGGCTGGTTTAAAACAAAACAAACAAGCACCAGTAGGCTTGCACACAACTGACCAGGGTTTGATTCCTGTCTTCCCGGCATCCCATATAGTCCCCTGAGCACCACGAGGAGTAATTTCTGAGCACAGTGCCAGGAGGACCCCTGAGCACTGCTGGGTGGGTAGACCAAAAATGGAGAGGAAAAAAAATTATCAAAGTACAAGATGTTTCAAGCGGAGCAAAGTCTTGGCTTATCAGCTCATGCACTGGTCAGCAGGACACGGCAGAGACCCCAAGAGCGGGCTGTCTGGCTCTGTTTAGGGGGAACCTTTTATCTTTTTTAGGTGCCCCCAAGATGCCATTTGGGCAGGTAGTTGGGCAAGGCCTGCTTTTGTTTTTACAGACCAGCGATCCTAGGAATGGGGAGGGAGTGACTGGTCGGGAACTTCAAGAGTCCAAATAGAGCTGGGTGGGGGTGCTCAGTGCCCCTGGGGGCATGCGTGACTGACTTTTCCTGACAAGGGCCCCACCAAACAGACCTGGGATTTTTCCACAGGAGTGAAGTCGGACTATTTCATTTTTCTTGTTTAGGGCTGAACAGTTTCTGCAAGGTGTATGTACATCACCTCTATTCTCTGCAGGCATTTAGATGTTCTCTTACCTACTGTGAATAATACTCCAAAAATCATTGGGTGGACAGAATTTTTTTTTTTTTTGCTTTTTTGGGTCACATCCAACAATGCTCAAGGGTTCCTGGCTCTGCACTCAGGAATTAACTCCTGGCAGTGCTTGGGGAACCATATGTGATGCCGGGGATCGAACCTGGGTCGGCTGCATGGTGCAAGGCAAACGTCCTACCCGCTGTACAGAACTTTTTTTTTTTTTTGCTTTTTGGGTCACACCCAGCGATGCTCAGGGGTTACTCCTGCCTCTGCACTCAGGAGTTACTCCTGGCGGTGCTCAGGGGACCATATGGGATGCTGGGAATCGAACCCGGCTTGGCCGCATGCAAGGCAAATGCCCTACCCGCTCCAGCCCCAGAACTTTTTGTGTCACTGTTTTTGATAGCTTATTTGCTACCACAGAAGGGGGAAATCAGACACACACATGCAGACAGGAAGACACATGTGCAGGCAGAGGTTGGGGGCCAGGGCTGTGAGCGAGGGGTGCGGTTGGAAGTGTTCCTATTGCTTTGGAAGGAGCCCACCTTGCCGACTGGCTCTCAGACCTCCAACCTGAGAAAATCCACTCCCTTTGCTTAGCCACCATGTGTGCGGCACTTGGTAACGCAACACCAACCAGCAGACACAGGTCGTGCGTTCACGCGGCTGCCTGCAGACTCGGGGTGTTCCCTGACAGCGCCCTCATCCCTGCCACACCTGGCGGCTTTCCCACAGGACCAGAGCAAGGACAGCCACAGGACCCTGAGTGGCTGAAAAAAATGCTTGTGGTTTCTTCTTTAACACTCCGGGAACCCCCCCCTTTTTTTTTTCTGTTGTTGTTTCACGATCACGATCACGATCTCGGTCATCCTGGATCACGATCATCCTGTTGTTTGTCAATTGCCTCGAGCAGGCACCAGTAACGTCTCCTTCGCCCTAGCCCTGAGATTTTAAAAAGTGCCATATTCGAGGCTCTTTCAGGGTTAGGAGAATGAGACTCATCATTGTTACTGGTATTTGGCATATTGGGTATGCCACGGGGAGTTTGCCAGACTCTGCCATGTGGGCAGGTTACATTCGGTAGCCTGCCAGGTTGTCCAGAGTAAGAATGAGATAATAAGACCGCGCGCTCGGGGAGCTAGGTTTTATAGTTTCTGGATCTTGGCCATTGATGGGATTACACAGCGCAGGGTGGGGGGTGGGGGGTGGGGGGGAGTTGGTGGGTGTGACCCCTGCCTACTGGAAGATGGAGGATCTGGGTGGAGGATGCTCAGCCCCAATCCGAGCAAGCTTGGAGATCTCAGCCCCGGGACCCACATGCCTTTGTTGTTGTTTAAAGTTAAGTTAAAGTTAAAGGCCCTCCCGTTGATCGTCGATTTGCTCGAGTGGGCCCAGTAACGTCTCCATTGGAGACTTTGTTGTTCCTGTGTCTGGCATATCGAATACTCTCGGTAGCTTGCCGGGCTCTCCGAGAGGGGCGGAGGAATCGAACTCGGGTCGGCCATGTTGGCCGCTTGTAAGGCGAACGCCCTACCCGCTGTGCTATCACTCTAGCCCTTGTTGTTGTTTAACTTTTTTTTTTAATTTTAATGAATCACCGTGAGATGCAGTTACAGACTTACAAACTTTCGTGATTGCGTTCCAGTCAAACAATATTCAAGTACGTATCCTTCCACCAGTGCCCATTATCCCCCACCAATGTTCCAGTATCCCTCCCCCCATCCCCAGCCCTTTCCACCCCCTCCCTCTGTGGCAGACACATTCCCTCTTACTCTCTCTGTCCTTTTGGGTGTCATGGTTTGCACTACAGGTATCGAGCGGCCATCATGTCTGGTCCAGAGTCTTACTTTCAGCACGCATCTCCCATCCCGAGCGAGCCCTCCAAGCATCATTGACTTCTGAAATACGGAACGCTTCCCGAATTGGCGTGTCATCCTTGCTCATCTTCTCTGTATCATTCCAATTTTAGAATGTGTGCTGCTGAAGCAAAAGCAAAAGAAGTACCTCACTCCCAGCAGTGCTCAGGGGATAAGGTTCAGGTCAAACTCAAGACCCTTATATGCAACCCTTTGAACCATCTTGCGGGTTCCTAAAAATTGTTCTCTTTGAGATTTGGGGACATGCCTCAAAGGCAGTCTCTTGCTTTTCATGTGTGAGGCCCAGATTCCCTCTCTGGCATCACAAAAATAAAAGGCATGGTCTGAGACTGACATTTAGTTAATGTTCACAGACTTCTTTGCTATATCAGCAAAAATTTTGCCCATATCATTAAAAATTTTGAGACTAGACTCTCATGACACCATGTGGGTAGAATGGTTCTGTGCTCGGCTCCCCCTGGCCTGGCATCAAAGCCCTTCTTCCCTCAGCCATTGGCAGAGAGGTGGGCAGTGTTTCATGAAACAGATCACACATATCTAGGGCATCCTCTAACAAGGGTGCAGGTGAGGTAGGATTCCTGAAAGACACAGGTGTTTAGGGCAGTGTAAATAAAACAACAATACACCTTGTTGGTTGGCTCTTGACTTTGTGGTTTTCTTATCATTTTCACTTGCGTATGTGCTCCTGTATGATTTCTCTATGATTTGTTGCCTACAACAAATCATAGAGAAAAATATATAAATATATGCCTCTCAGAGAGCCCGGCAAGCTACTGAGAGTATCCCCCGCACACAGGCAGAGCCTGGCAAGCTCCCCATGGCGTATTCAAAATGCCAAATACAGTAACGACAACAGGTCTCATTCCCCTGACCCTG